CATCAATGTCAGTTACCTTGTGTTAAAACTGGATGCTCTAGTAAACAAACAAACAAATAAATAAATAAAAGAATTCCATTAAAAAAAAAAGAAAACCTTGAACTTGATTGATTAATTACAGTATTAAGATAGCACTAATCACCTGAGGATTAGCCACCCCCCCTAACATATTTCACCTAAGGATTAAATACACTAACACTACCTGGAGGGTTAGGTTAGGGATGCGAACCTGAGCCTCTTAGGGCAGGAAGCGAGCACTGTGCCCTCTAGAACCCACTGCAGACGTACATAGAGACAGACGTACACAGAGACAGACACATACACTAAGATAGACACACACACACACACACACGGCTCATTCAATACAAGTAACACTCCTTGACAAGATTATCTCAACACACACAAGGGGGGGGGGTGGGAGTTTAGGTGAGTAAGCTTTCAGGTAAAAAATAAGCTGGGATAACCTAATCAAAAGATCAACTAAGGTGGTGTACGTAATCAACAGGTAATCCCGCGGCAGGTGTTGTTAAGTGACGTGTGTCTGTGTGGTGTTGCCTTATACGGGGTAACTCAATATCCAGGGCGGGTAAGAGAAGGAAGAACAAGATGAAAAAAACAAACTTCTTAATTGTGGTGATTGTGAGAGCTAGTTTGATGACCTAGAGAACAGTTTAGGCCATTTTGTATAGTTAGGTCATTTTGTAGTCACGTTAAGTAGTTGGTACCGACATTCGAGGCGTAATTATGACATGGAGGTGATGGGGAGCAGGGAGAGAGGTGAAGGGGGGGTGGAGACAGTAGGAGGAAGAGGTGTAGATGACAAGAGGAGGAGGAGGTAAAGAAGACATGAAGAAGAGGAAGAAGTACAAACGACAGGGAGCGGAGGAAGAGGAGGAAAGATGATCAAGAGGGGAGGAGGAGGAGACGGAAAAAGGAAGAGAAGAAATACGGGTGGTTTACAATCTGACCCTTAACTCACTAAACAGGGGGAGGGGGGAAACTAGCTTTTTTTCCCCACCACCCAACTCCTCATTCCTCAAGACGTATAGATAAGAGGGAAATTTCAACACAACGAGAGAGAGAGAGAGAGAGAGGTAGGAGAGAGAGAGAGAGAGAGGGAGAGAGAGTCTAACTAGCTCTACCTCTAATTCAGGAAGCCAGGTAACCCATTCATGCTGGTCAGACGTGGGGAGGAGGTGTCTCACAGTGAACTAGCGTCTGGAGACACACTATTTCACTTATCGGGCACGAGTGAGAGACAGCCACACCTCACCGTAATAATAAAAGCCCTCTAAGGACTCACCACAACACAGCGAGAGTCAAACCTTACGGGACGCGCTGCCTTATTTGTGTTGTCTCACCTATGTTTTTGTTGCCAGTCTCCTTCTTGTTATAAATTGGTGCCCTCTTGAGTTTGCGTGTTGTAAGCACCCACCCTCCCTCCCCAACCCTTCCTCTCCCATCCACCTCTTCCTTCCCTGCCTCTCTCCACCTCTTCTCTCTCCACCTCTCACCTCCCCCTCCACCCTTTGATATTGAAACCACCTTCCCCACCCTCCTACCATTCCCCTCTCCCCCTTCCTTCCACCTCCCTCTCCTCTTCTCTCTCCACATGTTGCCAGGGGCGACAGAGACCTAAGGCCATACTTACATTCATTACACACACACACACACAAAACAGACAGACAGACAGACATAAATTCAATACAATCACCACACAAGGTCAGGGCGGTTCATCACATACGCAGAGACAGGATGCTTACACACCTGTCCAATAAAACATCAACCTAATACCTGACACTCTCTCCTATTAGTGATTGACTCCCTTATACCTAACAAGTGTGTGTGTGTGTGTGTGTGTGTACCCAGGCGAGGTGTCCCCCACGGTGAGGGAGGAACGGCGGGCATCACTCCCCCCCCCTACTCACACACACCTCTCACCCCCCACTCACACACCTCTCATCAACTACTCCTTCAATCAGCCAGGTGAGTGTGTGATACCTGAGTCTTGCCTTAATCTCCCCCGAGTATATCACCTGAGGGTTACACCTGCGGTTTAGTCCCCTCCCACCTTGTTTCACCTGAAGATTAGCCACCCTTAACCTAACCTAACATATCAACACCTCAGACTAACCTAACTTAGCCTAACCTAACCTAACCATCTTCAAGCTAACCCCAGGAAGCGTTAGCGTGGTTAATATTCAGTTTAATTATGATGTGGGGGGGTGAGGGGTGGGAGGGTAAGGGGGTGGGGGTTAGGGGGTGGGGGTGAGGGGGGCGACTCTTCACGTGATCAATATAATTTACATCAATCACGTACAGTTAACTTTACTTCAGTCCGTGGTGGTGGGTGGAAAGGTGCCTGGCGAAGGAGCGGCAGCGGTGGCGGAGGAGGGCGGCGTGGCGCAGGGTGAAACAGGGGACGAGTGGCTCCCACCCCCAAGAGCAACGACCCTCACCTCACCTAACCTCACCTCCCGGAAGCTGCCTCACCCCTCAAACACACACACACCATTACTATCACCACACAACACCATCATCAACACCACCATACACCACACACACCATTACTATCACCACACAACACCATCATCAACACCACTATCACCACCATCACCATACACCACACACACCATTACTATCACCACACAACACCATCATCAACACCACTATCACCACCATCACCATACACCACACACACCATTACTATCACCACACAACACCATCATCAACACCACAATCACCACCATAAACCACACACACTTAAACACGTACATAAATTCATCTGTGCGTTGGTACATGTTCAAGTTCACAAGTTCAAAGTTGACATAACACCTGTTCACGTTACTCTCCTTCACCTTCCTGTTCACAACCCAATTACCGCCATGTTCACGTTAAAAACCCCAATTATTTATATATATATATATATTTACACTACAAAAAAAACACCTTAAAATCACGAAAAAAAATATTTATCTACGTACTAAAAAAAATTATCAAAATATTTCAAATTTATGTTAAAAGTAAATTAATGTTTATGTATTAAAAACTATATATGTGGCGTGGTGGTGATGGTGGTCTGCTAGTGTTGGTGAGAGTGGGGGAGAGTGTTTAGGTGGTGGGGGGGTAATGATGGAGGGTGGGGAGGATGGGAAGATGGAGAAAGAGTGACAAGAGTGGGAGGAAAGGTGTGGAGGGGAGAGTAGGGGGGAGGGGAGAGTGGGTGGGAGGGAGGTAGCGGTAGGTGGGCAAAGTGGTCCACCCCCAACACAAGGTCACCCACTGACCCAACCCTGCTACACCCACCCACCGCCCCCCTCCCACCTTACCTTACCTGTGCTTGCTGGCATTACACACACACACACACACACACCACCTCGACTTCCCTCTTCCTCCTATCGTCAATTATTACCACTACGCTTTCACGTTGATATGTTTCTTCTTCAGATAACGATGACAGCGAAAATTACGATGTTATTTACTTAGACGAAAATTACGATGTTATTTACTTAGACGAAAATTACGATGTTATTTACTTTCGAAAATTACGATGTCATATATTTAGACTTTAGCAAAGCATTTGACAGAGTACCGCATCAGAGGCTTCTGAGAAAAATTAAGGCTCATGGTATCGAGGGGAAAGTTTTAAATTGGATAAAATCATGGCTCACCGATAGAACGCAGAGGGTCAGCGTAGAAGGTGTTAAATCTGAGTGGGGCCGTGTAACCAGTGGGATTCTCCAGGGGTCAGTACTAGGCCCGCTCTTGTTCATAATCTACATAAACGATCTAGATACTGGGATCAGCAGTGACATAAGCAAGTTTGCGGATGACACCAAAATAGGGCGGCAGATTAATTCAGGGCAGGATGCAAATGCATTACAGGAGGATCTAAATAAACTGCAGGGGTGGCCTGAAAAATGGCAAATGAAATTCAACACCAGCAAGTGGAGCGTACTTAATATTGGAAGAACAAATACTGTCAATGTATACAGCCTTAACAACAACAACCTAGAGAAGTCGACTTGTGAAAGAGACCTAGGGGTACTTGTAAGCCCGGACCTACGGCCTAGAAAACAGTGCGTTAATGTTCGAAATAAGGCAAACAGAGTATTGGGTTTTATATCTAGAAGTGTAAGTAATAAGAGTGCAGAGGTCTTATTGCAACTATATCTTGCGATAGTCAGGCTGCACCCCGATTATGCGGTTCAGTTCTGGTGCCCTTATTATAGAATGGATATCAATTCACTAGAGTCGGTGCAGCGAAGAATGACGAAAATGATTCCGGAACTTAGAAACCTTCCATATCAGGATAGGTTAAAGAAACTAAACTTGCATTCCCTAGAAAGACGAAGAGTGCGGGGAGATATGATAGAAGTATTCAAGTGGGTGAAAGGAATCAATAAAGGTGATATAGATAAAGTTCTAATAATATCCGAGCAGGATAGGACTCGGAACAACGGATTCAAGTTGGATAAGTTTAGGTTTAGGAGGGAGATAGGAAGGAACTGGTTTACAAATAGGGTGGTGGACGAGTGGAACAAGCTTAGCAACCTTGTAGTAAGTGCTGGAACGCTGGAAAGTTTCAAAGGGAGACTGGATAGATTCATGGATGATAGAGAGTGGTAGTAACTCTCGACAGGAGCTGCAATGCACAGGCCAACCGGCCTATTGCAGACTCCTTATTTTCTTATGTTCAAACAATTTTTTCACCCCACAAAGGACATGACCACGAACACTGTCCCTGGGGTTTGGTGAGTACCCCAGCTAGCCTCCTCCCAGGGGTCTGCCAGAGAGGTAAACAGTTCACTTCACCTCACCTAATCTAACCTTTATCTGGATCTTTTCCTGCTATTTTTTCATGCGACTATTTACGGACACCTGTAAACTCACCTGCTGAAGAGGACTATGTATGTATGTATGTATGTATGTATGTATGTGCGTACTGTGGCACCCTCAGACTGATCATCATAGGCCTATCTACCTTTAATATCACCTACCTTTGCTAATAACGTAGAGGCGTAATACAGTAGGCCTACACAGCTCACCTGCAAATAAAAAAGTAAATTAAGCAATGCAAAAATAAACAATAAACAAGACTTAGTTAACAATAAATAAAATGCAATAAAAACAACAATAACAACAATTAGAATAAAAATAACAACAACAATAATAATAATAATAATAGCAACAATAAGAGTAATATCGAAAACAACAAGAAGATGAATGAGAGGAGGATGAGGAGAAGGAAGAAGAGGAGAAGGAAGATGAGGAGGAAGAAGAGGAGGAGGAGGAGTAATGAAACAGGTAAGTGGCCTCAATTATACAGGAAGTGACGATCTTCAATACCTCCTTCACCACCACTACCATTACCACCACTGCCAACACCATTACCACCACCACTGCCAACACCATTACCACCACCACTGCCAACACCATTACCACCACCACCTACCACTCCCATCACCACCACCTACCACTCCCATCACCACCACTACCAACACCATCACCACCACTACCATTACCACCACCACTGCCAACACCATTACCACCACTGCCAACACCATTACCACTACTGCCAACATCACTACCACCACTGCCAACACCATCACCACCTACCACTCCCATCACCACCACTACCAACACCATCACCACCACCACCATTACCACCACTGCCAACACCATGTGAGAGAGACACCATCGTCAGGTCCTTCACGCAGCAGCCGCAGGATGTGACGTGGGAGGGAGGAGAGTGGGAGGCTGGTGGCGGGGATCCCAGGGAGGCAATAGCGTGGGAGCAGGGCGGGGGGAATCTCTGTCCCAGCCCCGCCCCGCCTCGCCTCGTACCGCACTACCCCGCCCCGACAGATTACCCTCTGACCTGCCTCAGTCACTCAGCATCACCAACCGGAGTAACGGAGGCGCACACACACACACACACACACACACAGTACCAATACCAAAATGAGGAAATAACAAAAAAAAAATTCACTTGACCTGACCTAACCTAACCAAACCGGAACCTAACTTAACTTAACCCCGGCTTACCACTTCCGCTTAAATCAACAACGTTAATCAAACACAAACTGAAAACAGGTCCTTCTATAATGAGTTGTACGACCTTTGTCTGCACCCCTCCCTCCTCCCACCACCACAGTCTCATCAGGGGACGAACAGCGGTACAGGTTAGGTAAGGTTAGGATAGGTAAGGCTAGGTAAGGTTGAGGTTAGGATAGGTAAGGTTAGGTTAGGTTAGGTAAGGTGAGGTTAGGATAGGTAAGGCTAAGTTAGGTTAGGTAAGGTCACGTAAGGTAAGGCTAGGTTAGGTTAGGTAAGGTTAGGTTAGGTAAGGCTAGGTAAGGTAAGGTTAGGCTAGGCTAGGTTAGGTTAAGTTTACACCCTGACATACACACATGACGTCTCTGACAAGCAAACAGTTTCACCCAAATATTCCCCAAAACACAGCGGCTCTCTCTGTTTACACGACCTCAAGTTAATGACAACACTTCTGAGGGTTTTAAGTTCAAGAGTCAAGTCCTCCTCCTTCTTCCCCTTCCCTCCCCACTCCTCTTCTTCCTCCCCCCTCCTCTTCTTCCCCTTCCTCTTCCTGCGGTAAGCCAGAGGAGGCCAAGCTGGTAAATGGTACAAAGACGTTAATGTACGGGGGTTGGGTTAAGTTAGGTTACACCCAGACGCTGCTACTGTAACTCCTCCTCTCCCTTCTTCTCCTCCCTCCCCCACCCAAGTGAGAGAGATTTGGACTACTGGCAAGCGTTACCTCCTACCACCACTACACACACACACGGTCGAGTTCACCTCCTTTATCTATAAGGATTTTCACTCCTATGACGCTTGTAATTGGTCCAGTTCACGAGTCTGGCTGGCTGGCTGGCTGGCTGGCTCACTTAGCTACTATCATTGGACAATTCACATCCGGCAAAGGAACCCGTTACGACGCGATATATTAGTATTACATCTCAGCTCCTCGTCAGCTGTTGTGTGTGTGTGTGTGTGTGTGATGAATCAAAGAGTTCTTGCGTAACGAATCATAGGAGTTTGAGATTTAAATTTGGTTAGGTTAGGTTGCGTTGAGTTAGGTGAGGTGAGGTTAGGTTAGATTAGGTTAGGTTACGTTACGTTAAGCTGAGTTAGGTAAGATTGTGGCAGGAGGGAATGAAGTAGCTGTCACGATCTCTTGAGGACACGCCGCGCCAGTAGTGGACATGACCTCAAACTTCTCTTGACTGTCACATTACTTCTCATTCCCAAGCGTGACCCTCCTACAGACGGTCCAGCCCGGGGGGTGGGGGGACTCACTCTCTCTCTCCCTGTGTATCTTTCCCCGTCTCTCACTCTCCTATCTCTCTTTGCTTTCTGTATCACACACACACACACACACACACACACACTAGAAACTCCTACTAACAGGGCGTCTCCTATACACCTGTTCCCCGGCCACCTTGCTACACAGCCACACACCACAGCGTCACCCAAGGCACTGACCACAAGTAAAAGCGGAAGTCGGTAAGAATAACATCGTTTACTCAGCCATGCCAGTACAGGTACAGTCAGGTATAAAGTGCAGGTACAGAGTCAGGTATAAAGTACAGGTACAGTCAGGTATAAAGTGCAGGTACAGAGTCAGGTATAAAGTACAGGTACAGTCAGGTATAAAGTGTAGGTACAGAGTCAGGTATAAAGTACAGGTACAGTCAGGTATAAAGTGCAGGTACAGAGTCAGGTATAAAGTACAGGTACAGTCAGGTATAAAGTGCAGGTACAGAGTCAGGTATAAAGTGCAGGTACAGAGTCAGGTATAAAGTACAGGTACAGTCAGGTATAAAGTACAGGCACAGTCAGGTATAAAGTACAGGTACATTCAGGTATAAAGTGCAGGTACACAGTAAGGTATAAAGTGCAGGTACAGAGTCAGTATAAAGTACAGGCACAGTCAGTATAAAGTGCAGGTACAGAGTCAGGTATAAAGTACAGGTACAGTCAGGTATAAAGTACAGGTACAGTCAGGTATAAAGTACAGGTACAGTCAGGTATAAAGTACAGGTACAGTCAGGTATAAAGTGCAGGTACAGAGTCAGGTATAAAGTACAGGTACAGTCAGGTATAAAGTGCAGGTACAGAGTCAGGTATAAAGTACAGGCACAGTCAGGTATAAAGTGCAGGTACAGAGTCAGGTATAAAGTACAGGTACAGTCAGGTATAAAGTACAGGTACATTCAGGTATAAAGTACAGGTACAGTCAGGTATAAAGTACAGGTACAGTCAGGTATAAAGTACAGGTACATTCAGGTATAAAGTGCAGGTAATTATCATAGAGGTAAGTGTATTATTAATCACACAGACGAACTGACGGCGATGGGCGGGAACTGTGTTGGGCCGCGGGCGTCTACCACCCACCGGGCCTTCTGCAGCCTTCCTCAACACCGCCCTCACTGCCCGGGAACATACGCCATAACGTACGCACATGTTACGCAAAAATCACAACTACAACGAAATCCACCAATGTAACTACGCAACCACGACAATGATCACGGCAACAACGGACGTATAATACTGATACAGCTATAGTGGTCATAGGGCAGCACCAGACAGGTCAGGTCAGGTTACGCTACTTGAGGGAGGACACGCAGCTCTACACTGAGGGTGGAAGAGAAGAGGGTGATGATGTGGCCAGTGAAGCTCTCGGGCCACTTGTGTGTGTGTGTGTGTGTGTGTGTGTGTGAGGGCCTGAGGTGGGCAGTCACTTATTCAACTCAGTTCCTGTAGTCCTCCATTGCCTACCCTTGACATTGTTGTTGTTTTGTTGTTGTTGTTGTTTTACTTGTTACACACACACACACACACACACACAAGCAAACAACAACTTAGTTTACTTAACAAACCTCTGGTGTTATTTCTGAAGCACCACAGCATAAAGAAAATCAGAAAGAAAAAGAAAATCAAAAAGAAAAAGAAAATCAGAAAGAAAAAGAAAATCAGAAAGAAAATCAGGAAAAAGAAATCAGAAAAAAATGAAAAAAAAATTACAAAAAATCAGATCACTAGAAATAAGTGGCCCATCAACCTCTTCATAAACCCTTAAGCACCATTACACACAGTAGCCACATACATCAAGTGCAACACTATTATCTGGCACCATTACGGGGAAAATAAACATGATCACTGAGATAGGTGAGGTTAGGTTGGGTTGGGTTAGGTTGGGTTAAGTTGGGTTAGGTTAGGTTAGGTTGGGTTAAGTTGGGTTAGGTTAGGTTAGGTTGAGGAGGGGTGAGTAGGGCCAACAAGAGCAGCGTTGTGTGGAGAGGGAGGAGAGTGAGAGGAGAGGTGTCCCAGCCTGGCAACACAAGAACATATATGGTCGTGTGTGTGAGTCTTATAGGTCCTGCGATCACCCCCCTCCCCCTCCGTGCATTGGGGGGTGGGGGGGGGGTGGGGTTGTTTGGTTGTGCCTACCGTGAGTCTACCCTAATCTACCCTGCAACATACTTTACCCTGCATCATAATCTACCCTGCAACATAATCTACCCTGCAACATAATCTACCCTGCAACACATAATCTACCTGCAACATAATCTACCCACACAACGCAAAAATCTACCCTGCATCATAATCTACCCTGCAACATAATCTACCCTGCATCATAATCTACCCTGCAACATAATCTACCCTGCAGCATAATCTACCTGCAACCTCAATTTACCCTGCATCATAATCTACCCTGCAACATAATCTACCCTGCAACATAATCTACCCTGCATCATAATCTACCCTGCAACATAATCTACCCTGCATCATAATCTACCCTGCAACATAATCTACCCTGCATCATAATCTACCCTGCATCATAATCTACCCTGCAACATAATCTACCCTGCATCATAATCTACCCTGCAACATAATCTACCCTGCATCATAATCTACCCTGCAACATAATCTTCCCTGCATCATAATCTACCCTGCAACATAATCTACCCTGCAACATAATCTTCCCTGCATCATAATCTACCCTGCAACATAATCTACCCTGCAT